GTTAAAGTGAAATAAATGCTAACACCTGACTAAGCTTAAGGTTAATAATCAAGTTTCAAATGTAGAAACTTAAACTCAAAATTAGAAGAAAAGCAAATCTGTAATATGATTCAATGATTCTAAAAAAATTAATTTTCTAATAACTAAGTCTAAGGGTATTATTTATAATGACTTGACCCTACTTGATCTAAACTTAGAGTGCAAATAAAGTAAATTTAAGAAAGAAAATATTCTTCCTTAAAGTTCCTTGGAGTACAAAAAAAGTAAATTCTTAAATTTATACTTACTTGTCGTCCAAGTAAATTAAAATAAAAAAAATTTATTATACCTATAATTTCTAATAAGACTCGTAATTAAATAAGAAACATATTAAAATTACAAAAACCCTAATTGTATCATTGAAGAACCTCAAAATGACCCATCCCACTCTAAAAAGTCATCTGCTAGACATTCTAGGTCAATGGAGTTCCATGGTTTTACCCACCCCCATTCTCATCCATAATTGCATTCCCCTCACTTGCCTTTATCCCAAACATCAAACGCATTTTAATAAGGAAAACCAATTCATTCCGTCGCATTTCTTTCAGTTAAAAATCGAATAATGTCTAAATCCACTCCAAAAAAAAACTCTATTTCTCTTTCCTTAAAATACTTGATACATATCATGTAATTTAAAATCAAGGTTGAGAACAAGAAAATGGAATACAAGCAACTTGTCACGTTTGAAGGAGTCATGAGTAAACCCTTCCAAATGTCCGTTATCATGATGTCTTTTTGAACCAAAAGGCTCTTTACCACGTGAGACATGCCTTCATCGAGAACTTGAAGAGTTTCACAATACACTACCTTTATTGCAACCATTGGTGGACAACCTGGACAATAAACCTAATTAGCCCAAAAATCTTGCCACCACATTAATCTTATGATGAACAAATTTCTTTAGAGAAGAAAAATGTGCGTCATCACTTTTATCGAATGCCATGCTCCCAAAAAATTGAGGTCAAAGAAGACTTTTATTGAGATGTTGACAAATTTCTTTAGAGAAAAAGATTGGGTGTGATCAATTCTATCTGACCCACACTCCAAAACATTAGGATCAAGAAATTTGTAGACGAGATGCTTAGTAGTGCGGAAACTACATTTCAAAAAAAAAAAAGAAGGAAAAAAAATCTGCTCTAATGGGTGATCAAGAAATTTGCTTTTCGATATTCTGGACTGCTGTTGTGATGACTTCTGCCAGTTTGTGTGAAGTTGATCTTTACTTTCTGTTCTGTATGGATGACTAGTGTGGAGGGTGGCTGTTAATCCTTTTGAGTCTGTCTGTGGCAGGGGACTATGTCCTTGAGTTAATGGTGTGGGGTTTTTTCCTTTCGTTTGTTGATGAGCATCACCTCTTTATGATGCATCTGGGCTGTCGGCCTACGTTGTTTTTGTTAAGTCTGATTGTGTAGTCTAAGGCGAAGTTGCTCAAGGGTGCTGGATAGTCCTTGCTAGCAAAGGATGTTGTAATAGGAGGCAGGTCGGTGCCTTATCCAGAGTCTGCATTTTTGCTACCCTTTCTAATATAATATTTCACAAAAATAAAAAAAAATAGTGTGGAAACTGTGCCTGGCGACAACGTTATCTTTAACTTCTTTAAAGTTTACGAGATTTCTCATCAGTTGAAAAATAAAATAAAATAAAAAGGATAATTACATGAAAAGTTAAGCTACCGGATCAGTGGCACGTTTATATTTTCTTTTTCTTTAAATATGTTGATATATACAAATATAGGATTATACATTTAAATAATGATTATTTTAAGAATAAGCATGTGTTGCATGATGATTAAAGAGTCTTTTTTCCTTGAAGATCATGATTCCAATCTTATTTTTCACATTTAAATGGTTTCAGCATAATGCATTTTCTTAACGTGGGTCAAATCCAGCTAAAAATTTTAGGTCATCATCGGACTAATATAAAAATAAACAGATGCATGGCGGTTGGTGGAGAAGATTGCTGACAGTCTTGGACTGTCTCGCTAGACTCTTCAAATATTTATTTTTGAAAGTCTAAAATATTTATTAAATTCCAACAAAAGAGATTATACAATCAGAACAAAAAATTAC